TTTTTTTTTTTTTTTTTTTTTTTTTTATATATATATAAAAATTCCATAATATTCTGCAGTAAATTATCTAAATTCCCAACTAGGATCCTATCACACTTCATCGACGATAAGTAGGACTGGGAGAACGAGCACCACCTGTTCTGTAGTTTGGACTAAAAGCACGTAATCCAAGAGGCGAAGCACCGCGTCCATCTAAATATAAAAAAATTGATTAACTCGAGATTCTTAACATTGAATAACATGCAACCATTATATTTAAATCATAATTTCATTGAAATTAATCAATTTACATACAAGGATCTGCCGAACGACTGTAAATGATCATATTAAATGATAAAAATAATATTTAATACATATTATAAAAATAATCTTTCAGAAAAATTCAAAAATTTTTTTTTTTGACATACCCATAGTCATTGGGTGTACCATATTTTTCTCTACGATGTTGGTCCTTTTTATTAAGACCAATGTCCCTACAAAATGAAATCGTTTATATATTATAAAAAAATATTAACAAATTGAAAAATGCATCTATAACATGGAGAATAATTGTAAGATAATAATTACCAATCAAGTTTTAGTCGGCGACCCTCGACATTGGTTCCATTGTATTTATCAAATGCGTCTTCGGCATCTCTTCTGTCCTCGAATTCAACAAAAGCAAACCTTTCAGACAACAAATATATATATATATATATATATATTAATAAAAAACCTATCGCTAAAAGGCATTTATTTCTTTTCTCAAATAATATTAGTACTTTACCCTTTGTTTCTTCCGGTATAATGGTCAATCTGAACTGTCACTTTTCGTAAACGACCATATCGTTCGAACATGTCAGCTACATCTTGTTCACGAAAAGCATATGGAAGATTACCCACATAAAGCGTAGTTGAGTCACGTCTTTCTTTGTCTGACCCACTAATTTATTGTTTACAAATAAGTATTTCTAATATTAAGATCTAACAATACAATTGAAAGAAATAAAATATTTACCGATCTATTGGTTTACTCCTCCTTGGAGGACCTCTTCTTTCAGAGGTGTAAGAAGGATAATCGCGGTATTCTCGTTCAAATTCTGTTCCTCCTCCACCTCATCAAGAGGTTTCATCTAGTAGCAATAATCATCCTTACAGTTCTCGAAAAGAACGTTCTCTATCACCTCGTGGTGGCACTTACAGACGCTCTTACTCTCCTAGAAGAAGAACCCCTTCTCCTAGTAAAGGTTATC